TAAGCTTGAGCAAACTGCAAACTCAGAGGAAATGTGGACAATGTCTGCAAAGATTAACTTATTAGAAGCTGAAATTGAAAGGGAAAGGGATTCATTGAAGCAAATCACAGTCAAGTGTCAGGAATTGGAGGACGAGCTGTCAAGAAAGAGACATGAAGCTGAGCTCCAGCAAACTTCAAACTTAGTGGAAACTGAGGCAATGTATGTGAAGATTAACTTAGTAGAAGCTGAAATTGAAAGGGAAAGGGATTCATCGAAGCAAATCACAGTCAGGTGTCAGGAATTGGAGGAAGAGCTGTCTAAAAAGAGATATGATGCCGAGCTCCAGCAAACTGCAAACTTAGAGGAAATTCAGACGATGTCTGCAAGGATTAACTTATTAGAAGCTGAGGTTGAAAGGGAAAGGGCTTCATCAAAGCAAGTCACAGTCAAGTGTCAGGAGTTGGAGGAAGAGCTGTCAAGAAAGAGACATGAAGCTGAGCTCCAGCAAACTGCAAACTCAGTGGAAACTGAGACAATGTCTGCAAAGATTAACTTATTAGAAGCAGAAGTTGAAAGGGAAAAGGCTTTATCAAAGCAAGTCACAGCCAAATGTCAGGAGCTGGAGGAACAGCTGTCAAGAAAGAGATATGAAGCTGAGCTCCAGCAAACTGCAAACTCAGTGGAAACTGAGACAATGTCTGCGAAGATTAACTTATTAGAAGCAGAAGTTGAAAGAGAAAAGGCTTTATCAAAGCAAGTCACAGCCAAATGTCAGGAACTGGAGGAAGAGCTGTCTAGACAGAGACAGGAAGTCGAGCTCCAGAAAAGTGCAAACTCAAATGTTGAAATGAAAATAAAACAGGTTAGTCTTCATGCTACTTTCTGATGCATGTTTATTTTTCATCAGTATGTGCTTTTAGTTGAGGATTTAAACAACAATCATTTACCATGCCTCTATTTTTCAAAAACCTTGCCTCTGGCAGGAGGATTTAGCTGTAGCTTCTGGAAAGCTAGCTGACTGCCAAAAAACAATTGCATCATTAGGCAAGCAACTGAAATCTCTTGCAACATTGGAAGACTTCTTGATTGACACTGCAAGCATACGAGAGTTCTCTGCCACTGGAAGCAGAGCTGGAGAATCTTTGATTCCTGGAGCTGTTGGAGAACCATGGAAATTGCATGGAAATGAAACATTTTCACCTAGAAGAGACTTCAATACTCCAACAAGGGTCAGTGACAATTCAGTGTCTTCAGCAAATAAGAATAATGGGAACTCATCACCATCTTCATCCTCATCCTCATCAACTTTATCATCAAATCTTGCCGGTTCCGAGAAGAACCGAAATGGGTTTGCAAAATTTTTCACTCGAAGTAAGAACGGCATTCACCTAGAAATTTGACATAGCTGTATTAGCTAGCAAAACCAGGAATTTGTTTGTCATTTAATAGATATAAAGATTAAATGCTGTGTAATCACCAGTAGTTAGCTGAAGATGTATTTTCTTTTTTCTCATTTATACATGAATGTTGGGTTTGGCAATACAAAATCTTCCAAGTAATTTGCAACTTCAAATGCTTTTGGTTATTTCTCAGCGACTCTAACAATTAATATGTTATCTTATATGCTTTGAAGATTAAATCCCAGTCTCTTGATATGGGGGGAAAAGGGGAAAGGTAATAGATTTACAACCGTATGGTGTGTGAAAGCTTGGGAATGAAGTTGGTGTCTTGCCTAGACTGCAGCAAAATTTCACATGATGGGGGGTATCCTATGCCTGTTCCACTGATCTCAAAGGCCGCACAGCAGGCATTGAGTGGGGCAACACAATGCACCCACATGAGGATGATGATGACAATGACGATGATGGATGACACAAGCTGAATAAAGTTAGCACTTTTTTAATGTATGGTACCACGTATTGTTCTTTTTTTTTTGGGGGGGTGTTGGGGTATAAGTGTATGCCCACCTATCACGTGGAAGCAGCTACAGGGAGGGCTTTAAAAATGGCAAAAATGTTTTTTTGGGGTGAGAGAGGCTCGAACTCTCGACCTCAGGATAACTCAGAAGCTATGAGACCTACGCGCTAGCCAACTGCGCCACCACCCCATAGTTGTCCTTCGGCGTTACAAAAATACTTAAATAATTTAAGTAATTAACTTTCAAAGTTTGTATTGAATTTTTTCTTCAATATTTTGCAGTAGAGGTTCTTTGCATTGATTTGAGTTTATTGACTTATATATAAGGTGGAAAAAATATAAACTACATGCTTCTTTTATACCTAAAATAAGCAAAAACAATTCGGTAAAAAGGATAAATAATTTAGTTACCTACAATATTTTC